TGAGCCCAGGAGTTAGAGGTTGCTGTGAGCTGTGATGCCACGGTACTCTATCCAGGGGGACAGCTTGAGGCTCTGTCTTAAAAAAAAAAAAGATATTTTATCAAGTTTGGGATATATTTTTTGGCCATTATTCTTCAAATAGTCCCTTTGTCCTTTTTTTTCTTCCCTTTCTATAACTTTCATAGTGTGTATGTTGATCGTCTGATGGTGTTCCACAGGTCCCTTAGGCTCTATTAATTATTCTTCATTCTAGCTGGGTGCAGTGGCTCACGCCTGTAATCCTAGCACTCTGGGAGGCTGAGGTGGGTGGATTGCCTGAGCTCCCAGGTTCAAGACCAGCCCAATCAAGAGCGAGACCCTGTCTCTAAAAAATAGCCAGGCATTGTGGCGGGTGCCTGTAGTCCCAGCTACTTGGGGGGCTGAGGCAAGAGAATCGCTTAAGTCCAAGTTGGAGGTTATTGTGAGCTGTGACATCATGGCACTCTACTGAGGGAAACAAAATGAGACTCTGTCTCAAAATAATTTTTCATTTTTGTTTCTTATTCTTGGACTGGACAATTTTGATTGTCCTGTCTTCATGTTTGCTAATATTTCTTTTGCTTACTCTGATTTCACATTGGACTTGCTTAGTGAAATTTTCATTTGTTATTGTATTTTTCAACTTCAGATTTTCTTTTTTGCAGTTTTTTTTTTTTTTTTTTGGTGGGTAGGGTTTGAACCCACCACCTTTGCTATATGGGGCTAGCGCCCTACTCCTTTGCGCCATAGGCGCCACCCCAACTTCAGAATTTCAATTTGAATTCTTTTTATAATTGTTACGACTTTATTTTTATTTATTTACTTTTTTGAGACAGAGCCTCAGGCTGTCACTCTGGGTAGAGTGCTGTGGCATCACAGCTCACAGCAACCTCCAACTCCGGGGCTCAAGTGATTCTCTTGCCTCAGCCTCCCAAGTAGCTGGGACTTCAGGCGCCGGCCACAACGCCTATCTATTTTTTGGTTGTAGTTGTTACTGTTGTGCAGGCCTGGGCTGGATTTGAACCCACCAGCTCTGGTGTATGGGGCTGCCGCCTTAGATGCTTGAGTCACGGGCGGGCGCAGAGCCGAGGTAGCTGAATTTAAGGGGGGAGGTAAGTGCAGCCCAGTTTACAGGGTGCTGGGAATGTGAGTGCTGTGTCCTTTGGTTTGTCCTCAGACAAGGTTGCAGACAATTTCCAAGTGTTTCCTTCCTGAGGCCTGATTGCTCATCTCTGTCAGGACACTCAGGAGTCCCTTGAGGCTTAAAGGAACAAATCCTAAAAGACAAAGGAGCTGGGGAAATGTAAGGAGAATTCACATTTCCTTTTGGTCTGTCGGGTTCCTCAAAGGACAGAGATCAGCAAGGGTAGGGGTGGGGTTGGCAAGAGAAAGAAAGCGAGCAGAGATGTTATGCCTTGTCAAAAAACTGAGTTAATAATTTTCTATTGGCTCGGCGCCT